CATGTGGTTATTTACCCATATATCATTTTTGGCAAAGTGTCCATTTAAATATTTTGCCCATTTTTATTGGTTTGTTATCTTATTGAGTTGTCAAAGATCTTTATATAATCAAGGTACATGTCATTCTTTAGATACATAGTTTGCAAATATTTTCTCTTTGACTAACTTTGTTATGAATGCTATAGTATCTCTTTAAAGATCAATAGTTCTTCACTAGTTACAAGGGATATATATGCACTCCTATGTTCATTGTAGCACTGTTAACATAGCCAAATTATGGGAAGAACCTATGTGCCCACAGAAAGATGAGTGGATTAAAATGTGGTATATATGCACAGTGAAATACAACTCAGCAATGAAAAATGATGAACTCTTGCTGTTCGCAACAACATTGATGGAACTGGAGGGAATTATGCTAAGTGAATTAAGTGAGAAAGTGAAAGAAAAATAGCATATGGTTTCACTTATATATATATGTACAATATAAAGAAACAATACGAAACAATACAAATGGCCAGTGAAAACCAAACCAATAACAAACCTTAGAAATACGTTGGTAGAATTGAATGTATAGAAGGGACAGGGAAGGTGAAGAGCAAAGTGTGAAGGAGGCCCAACAGATACTGTGGAGGACTCTGGGTGACTTGGTGGTGTGTGTGATATAGTGACATACATCTGAACAGGTGTGATCCTCAACCTCTGAATCACATACGGTGGTATAAACCAATATCACATAAATATAACAATAAATATCAAAAGTTTTTGATATTTGAGGAAGTTCAATGAATTGATTTAGAATTTATATTTGGGGTTGTCTAACCCAAGCTTCATAAGAATTTTTCTTAATTTTTTCCTAAAGTTCTATGAGAGAGGATGCTTGAAACACTGTCATAGAGCTCCAAGTAGTGGCCAACACCCCACCTTCTGCTGGGGTACATGTTGTCTTTCTTTGGAACAAATGTCCTTTCGGTGAATATTTATCAAAACTGTTGCTCTCAGCAAATCCACAAAGGGAGATATTTATCCCTGAGGTCAAAGGAAGAGGGGATAGTCTAATACTAAATGAGAATCTATTTCCTAAAGTCGAGTGGGAGTTAGGAGAGGAAGTCAGCTCTTTAAAATAGGAGACTCTCAATGGGTCTCAAAGTAGAACATTCCGCACTAAGTCACTCCACCCATACACTCATTCTTTAATCAAATATTGGCCATTTTTATCTTTCGGTAAAATGCAGAAATGAATAAAACATAGTCCTTATACCTAGGTTATAATCAAATGGAAAATTAATCATGAAGAACATAATATTAATTAACTTGAACCTCATTGAATGAGATGCAGCTATTTTCTAATTCACTACTTGTGATAACATCATGTCTTTCTATGAATCTTTCAAAGATTTCTCTTTGCCTTACATTCTAATCCATGCATTCAATAAATACATCCTATGTACCTTATTTTCTCACACGAGCTTTCAAAGACTCCATCTGTCTTTCTATGCAGGTATCCCCCTTCTCACCTTCAAAAGATGAATCACAAACACCTTAATCTGATCATGAGCATCCCTCTACTGCAGGAAGTATCGACTGAATCAATACAACACTTTGCTCTTTCAGCTCTCAGGAGACTTGCTACAGATTGAGCGGGAAGGCAAAACAAATAAGTAATAGTGTGAGTCAGTATCTGCAAAACTCAGAGGAATTACGAGGCAACAAACAGGGGCTTCTTATTACTAAGAAGGTGATCCTAGCAGGCACCAATTGGAGAGCGTGGCAGAGATGGATAAAGGGGTTAGCAGAGACATCCAGCCCTCTGCTGGCTGTCCCCTGGGCCTCATGAAAGAGTTGCTGACAGCACAGCCTGGCTTTCTGTGTTCTGAAGAATCAAAGTGCTGTAAATACCCATCTCGTGGCTGTGAAGATAACCTAACCCTGTCTGACAGTGTGGACGAGCTCTGTTGAGACTGCAAAACCATAAAGAGCTCTTTTATCTTAATCCAGGGTTCACTTCAAAGCTGATTTTTTCCTTATTTTGATGTGCATCTTTTAAAATTACTTTATCCTGAGGAGAGACACATACTATCCACTGAAAAACAACTGTTGGAATTTTGGGGGCCTTGCTGTATCATTGCCAAGAAAGATCTTTAACTTGAATTCATAGGATTCATGCATCTGTCTGATTTTAGGCTAGGTATCTGTCACCAAGTTTCCCTCCACTATTTTTTCAATGTTTAACAGGTAAACTAGTGAATAGACCAATTGCAGTAGATGCATACAGTGAAATACTATGCAGATTACAAAAGGAGTATAGGGATAGAAAATGTAATAAGAATCTCAACTATGTTGAGTGAAAGAACACAGACAAAAATGAGCACAAATATTGTATAACTTAAGTAAAATTCTAGAAATGCTAACTTATCTCCAATGATGTAAAGCAGGATGGTGGCTCCCTGTGGTTGCACATGTTGCAAGAGAAAGGGATTACCAAATGGTAGAAGGAAGCTTCAGGTTACACATACACAGCCACACATCAAGACTTTATCGTGGTAGGCCTCCCTAGTGGTGCAAGGGATTAAGCACAGCACTAGGAAGCTATCACAGCCTCTGCAGCAGGAGTTCAATCCCCAGCTCACTAGGGAGCTACCCACATGGTGCAGCAGACCTCTCCTGTCTCGCCTGCTGCTCCCTTCAACAGTGTTTTCAGTCAATCTACCTGTTTTGCTCCCTAATCTGGTAAACCCTCTGGTAAACCCTCTCACCCTCCACACCTCTGGCCTATACCCCAGTTCTTATATACATAGATAAATAAATCTTTAAAAAAAAAAAGACTATCATGGTGATTGTTTCTTTTTTTTTTAAAGATTTATTTTTTTATTCATACAATAGCTGGGGTACAGGCCAGAGGCGCAGGAGGCTGAGAGGATTCACCAGAGACAGAGTGGGGAGCACAACAGGCAGACAGACCAATAGCACTGCTGAGGGGAGCAGTGGGCATGACAGGAGAGGTCTGCTGCGCCATGTGGGAATCTCCTTGGCCAGCCGGGAATTGAACCTGCACTGTAGAGGCTGTGGACAGCTTCACAGTGCTGTGTTCAACCCCCTGCGCCACCAGGGAGGCCCCCGATGGTTTCATACTCTATATATGTGTATGCATATAGCAGGTGTACACTGTAAAGAAGTGTCTTCTCGGCTCCAGTCACTCAATAGGTTTTCATGATTGTCAGTATTATCCACAAACCTATGATGATTTTCGAATGTATACCTCCCATATGATGCTCTTTCTGGATTTGTCTAGCCAATGGTCTACTTGGCATTTTCTTTCGAATGTCTAATTGTTCTATCTTTGACTGGTCCATAAGGACATAACATACTATGTTGCATGAAAAAGGAGATAAAGGATGTAGAGGAAATTAAGGTTGCTGATCAGCTGACTTTAAAAGAGATTAGCCTGAAAGACCTGGGTGAGTCCATTGCAATCACAAGGGTCCTTATAAACGGAAAAGGGGAAAACAGGTGAGCTAGTGATGGGATGGTGTGGCTTAGGGACTTGGCTGGCCATCCCTGACTTTGAAAACGGTGCAAGAGGGATATGAGCCAAGGAATGTGGGCAACCTGTGGAAGCTGACAAAGACTAGAAAACAGATTCACCTGCACAACTTCTAAGTGGACTGCAGCTGTGTTAACATCTTGATTTTTTCACTCAGGGAGATCTGTCTCAGACTTCTGACCTCCAGAATCATAAGATAATTAATTGGTGTTAGGTCCCCTAGTTTATGGTAATTTTAAGAGCCACTAGAAGAAACTAATAGGTACCCCTTGAAACTTCATGTGTACGTGTATCCAATCTGAAATCCTTCAGACGATCTACCCAGGCCTGTGAGGGCCCCCATGCGTTTGAGGACCCCCCACTGCTTTGGCTAGGCTGTGCTGCCAGTGCAGGGTCAGATGCAGACGGCTGGTTTTGCCCTCTTCCCTGGGAGGGCTGGTGGTTGGCTGGAGGCCGTGGAGAACCAATACCAGGGCCAAATTCCTCCTGGATGGAGTAAGGAGGCCTGTTTCAGCTTAGAGGTGCAAAACTCTGGCTGGATAGCCCAGTAAATTGTCAGGATGCCTGGCAAGCTCCTTGGTTTGTGGCATTCTCTCTGTGATGTAAAGCTTCTCTGGCGGGATGTCCCCTCCATGTGCAGCCTGGGCAGATGTACTGCAGAAAATACCTTCACACTCCTGGGCTGGTCCCTTCCCGCGCCCTCCTGCTTTCCTTCTGGATGAGCCCAGGTGGGTCAGGAAAGGGGATGGTGGTTATAAAAGAAGGCAGGCACCTGAGAGGCCTGCAGATGTGGGGCTCGCAGTGCTAGGGTGTCACCATCTCACCTACAGACTAAGGGGGTGGAAGGGGCTCGCAGTTTAGCTCAGACGGTTTCCCATTGTGTGACTTTGTTGTAGAGCAACCCCGATACAAAACGGGGTGCCTGACTGTGGGTCCTCACCGCGTGCTTAAAAGGACTTATCAATGCTCTACTGCAGGCACACGTGAATGGTTAATAAAAGGGTCCACAAAGCCTGTATGGGATTAGCTCAGGACATCATTTCCCCCTAACAACTTGACCAAGAGGAAACTTGGTTTTTCTTTTTTGCCAAAGGACGTCCTCATCTTCCCTGGAGGAGAATCCCTGAAGTCTGATGAGGTGAGGGCTCTGGGGAGCGCAACCTTAGGAAAAGTTCTGGAGCTGGGGGAAGCAAGGCGGCAGCACTGAGCCGGCGTGAGGGAGCGGGTCCCTCGCCCCTTCTCTGCGCTCCACATTCTCCAGCTCTAGGGCCGGGTGAGGGGCTGGCCCGGGGCCTCTCAGGGAGTCCCGCCCAGGGTGGCTCTCCCGGGTCTCCCCTATTTGGCCGGCAGGCCCGGCTCTGGGCGGGGCTGAGGAGGGGGTGGGTGTGTGTTTGGGGGGAAGATGAGCCCAGCAAGCGGCTGCGAGGCGCGCGGCAGGCCGAGGGGTGGGGATCTGGGGTGGGCTGCACCCTCCCTCCCTGGCCCACTGCACACCCCGCGGAAAGCAGACTCTGTCCACCGAATCACTCCCCTTTCGGACGGAGGGAGGGGACAGAGGGGTAACGAGCCCCTCTCTATTTCAAAAAAGCAAAGGGAGATCGTGGCAACTCCGCAGCCGCTCCCCCCCACTCCTGGACCATGCCCCCCCGCCTCTTCCTGCTCGGCCACGGGCGAGGACTCGATGTTCTGAGCTGAGCTAAAACTTGCTGCTTCTCCCCAACAACCGAATCATGCCATGTGCCCAGAGGAGCTGGCTTGCAAACCTCTCCATTGTGGCTCAGCTTCTTAATGTGGGGACCCTTGGCTATGGGAGACCAGCTCAGCCGGGCCCGGTGCGCTTCCCCGACCGGAGGCAAGGTTAGTGGCTTCTCTTTATTTCCTTTGAAAGCCTTGGTGGTGAGACGCGTGAAAAGTTGGTTGCGCCCTCTTCCCTTCCCCCACTCGGCTGAACTCTGCAAAGCCTTTGGGCCCAGTTGCAAGAAGCTTAGACTGGGAAATGCAGGGATTCTCAAAATTCAGTGTCGAAGGTGATGACACCTTGAGTCTTACCGGAAGGTGAGGATCCTGATCTCTAGCCCTGATGAGGCTGCAGCCCACAGCCTAGAGGTAGCTGGTAAACCTCCTCCTTCTCTTGTTTTGTCTCCACTGTGAATGCTGCACTGTCTCAATCCCCTGCTTTGCAGATTCTGAACAGGAAAAATGACTTTTTTTCAACAAAAATTCCAACTGGCCACTAGCAGTCAGTGCAGTGTTTCTAGTTAGTTTTAACTGCTCAGGGCAGGGGAAATGTGGTTCTGCCCCCATGCTGAGTGAACTTGCCTCTGTTTTGGTTTCCTGGAAAGATTAAGGGCTGTGTTTTTTAAATAGCAGCCTTTGGGAGGGGTAGGAGGGAGGTGAGAGGAGTAATTTGTCCCTGGGGGGACTCACCTTTGCCTGTCCTGTTTTCCTGATCACAGTTGCCTGCTGCTCTTTGTGAATTTCCTGGACTCATGAAGCTCAAGAAAGCAATGGAGAGGAGATGGGCAACTTTTTATTAATTTATTTTAAGCCCCACACTGTGAGCAGGGTGCTCCTGTTGCCTCTGTTTTTTTTTTTTTTTTTTTAATTGAACTGGGAAGAGTAGGATCAGTTTCCTGTTTGGTGGGGAGAGCATGGGCCAGAGCCATAGTGATGGACGCCACGGCTCGATGGCCCCAGTGTGATGGGCCTGGTGGTGGCTGGAGCAGGTTCCTCAGGTAAAGACTGCTCAGGCACTCTGTGTGGGTCTGATGGAGGCTTAGAGTAGAAAATTTGGGCTAGAGGCATCACAAGACCAGAAACTGGAGGTGGGGGTAGAGAAGTTTAATATCTTCATTAAACCAACTCTAGAACCATTCACCACCTTTCAGGAGATGGGGTATGGAAGTTGTCAGTCATTACAAAAGGACAAAATATCCTAGAAGTGATTAATTTAACAATAGATAACAATTCCACACAGGAATGAAGCCCTCCCCCAAAAGGAACCCATCAGAAAAACAACTGCCCCAGGGAAGGGCAGCTCTCTTCCCAGCCTGCCTCTGCAGGCTTCCTCTCCTTTCTTTTTTCTCTAATGAACGTGTCCTTTTGGAGGTAACCTTTGTATGCTTGCATCTGTGAAAAAGTCTTCGTCTCCTTGCCAAACTCACCATGTGCCAATGAAAGAGGAACTCTGCTGACATTTTTCTCAGAAGTAAAGTGCTCCGAGCTTATTAGCCATGCATATATTTAGGTTTTAAATATTTCAGATTGTAAAAACCAAGGACCTCCGCTCATCCGAACCCTACATCTTGTCAATACCCCGTCAGGTCCATCCACTGACCAAGACAACAGCCTGGTGGCCGGTGCAGGGACCACTGTGACCAGTGCTGCCTGACAGATGTAGAAGCTGAAACCCAGAAACTGATGGGCCTGGCTGATAGTGGAGCATGGGAGGCCACTGTAAACTCTGGTCACCTGACTCCTTTAATCAAGCAGAAATTGCCCTGAGCAATATTCAGGAGGATACCCGAGGATTAAGTCCTGTGTCTGCTGTGTGTGCTCAAGACTTGGGAAGCTTCCATAACTTTTGACCCCCTTTAATCCTCAAGACTACTTGGGTGGCAGGCACCCCCAGCCTGTGCTTGTAGAGGATTTCCACTCAGGGTTTTCTGCCTACGTTGCAAAGTTTGAATGCTGCTGGAGAGCTTGCGGCTGTGAGAGCTGTCAGAAATAAACCCCTTTGCTTTACTTGGAAGCTGGCGCCCACAAACACTGGGGTTAGATGTCAGTCAGCCGCACTGCTTGTGTAAACGGTCCAGATACAATCTCCCTCCCCCAAGTTTAAAATAGCAGTGTTTGTTGTTCTTTGAAAAACAGCCCCTTTGTGAAAAGTCTCTCCTCTGGGGCAGCACAAAGCCGGCCAGCACTTCCCAGGGCATTTGGAGGCGATTCGGTTCAAAGACACACATTCTCCTGGGTTGATTTTCAGTTCTGCTTGCTCCACATCTTTGTGAGCAAATTCAGCTCCGTGTGGAGTAGACACCACTGGGCTTTGCTTTCTCCTCTCTGGAAAGTGAGATGGTTGCTTTCCCTGTCACTTGGAGTGTTATGGGCTGAGGGTCTGCCATGCTGAAAATAGATGCAAAGAGCTCCTAGCTTATTAGCCATGCATATATTTAGGTTTTAAATATATTGTAGCAGGGTGGTCCCCAGGAAAGGGGGAGGTTCCAGGCTGTCCCTCTCCCTGCCCTGTAACAATTTCAGATTTAAAAGCTTTTTCACCCAAATATTAGTCTTTTTTTTTGAACGTTTAGCCAGACTTTAATAGGCAAGAAGGAGAAAGGTTGCTTTGGCAATGTATTAAATGGCAACTATTGTATACAAACCTTTATTTGGTCAACTTTTATTAAATATTAAAATGCAATAGTTCTTAATAAACTCACCAGTGGATTTAGAATTAATTCACATTTTGTGCAAAGGAGAAATTTCTGAGCAGATTTCCACTGAGAACTAAGGAGGGAGGGAAGGAAGAAGAAAGAGACACAGTGGAGAGAGAGAGAGAGAGAGAGAGAGAGAGAGAGAGAGAGAATAGAGAATATAAGGGCAAACTAGTGAGCAGGAAATTTGAAGGCTTCCTGGGAATAGGATGACCTGGGCTTTGCTTCCAAGTGCCCTGCCAGCCGCTGCCTCGCAATAATCAATCTCCCTAGACTTCTATTTCCACTCTGACAACATTTTTGAATCGTTTCCAAATTCCAAATATTTAAATTTGCAAATTACTTCAGCTATCATCTCGCCCATCCTTTTTCCCTTTATAGCTGAGGAAGGAAAGGCCTAGGCAGCTCATCCCTCTGTTAGCCCAGCTATCTTGAGGCCGCTCCTACTGAACACTCAGTGGGTGAAAGCGATTGTACAGGGACCCACAGCTGGAAATATGTTCACAACCTAGGTAACCATTAAGGTTTCCGCAGTGGGAGAAATAGGGCTGAGGCCAAAGCCGTGGGGGTGAAAGAATTCACCAGAGATGGAGTGGAGAACAGGAAAAGGCGAATTTATTGAAATACCCTGCAAGAGAGCTGGGGGCTGGTAGGGAGGAGTCTGTGCTCCAAGAGGGCTTAAGCCTTTCTTTTATGACCTGTTATCTGCTCTGCTGTCTGTTCTTGGGTGTTGACCTTTGACAGAGAATGTGTCCTGGCCCTGTTATAGGACAGGGAGAGGGGCAGCCCAAGCCCCGCAAACCTGCCTATTCTAAATGGGTTCTGCCATCCGCCGCATCAACACAAAACATAGGAGACTTTAATGAAAAGGAACTTTAATAAAACTAGGAAACAATACAGGTAAGGCAAAGAGTCTAGTTTCTAAATGAAGCACCCAAAGTTACCCGTCCCCTAGTGGGTAAAAGTCCATCCAAATGGGATTGGCCCAGAGCAAGGCCCCAAAGCCTGCCACAAGTCTAAAGCATCTTCCAGTGGGGACCCACAGAAAAGGGTCACAAACAACCGGACAAGCCCGGAAGGAAAAGAGCAGAATCAACATCAAGATAAAAGCTGCCATAGTCACCTCCCCACGGGTCTCACCCACATCTGTGTCACCCAGTCCACGACTAAAAGACAAGCGCAGTTTCTTCACGTGTCTCTAGGCTCCATGCGCCTCCTCCAGGTCTCCTGGCTCCATCCTGCTTCCTACCTCAGTCTCTTCTTCAGCTTCTCCTCTTCCTGCTCAGCTCCACCCTCCCTTGGGTGGGGCAGGGAACCTCCCCCTTTCCTGGGGACCACCCTGTTACAGCCCTGCTTCTGCATTCATGGTCAAGGTGATCGACCTTGTGGCCTGGTTCCCATAGCAGCCTTGGTGATTTCCCCTTATCTATTCTAGGCTCCCAAACTTGCCTGCTGGGCAAGGAATGGGGGTTTAGTTTTTAACCTTAGAATGAACCCCAACTGTTTCTAGTTCTAAGGGTCAGTCTTAATTAGGATTTTGTATCTTCATTAAGATTTTAGACCTATGGCCTCCCTGGTCACTCAAGGGGTTAAGGCAGCCAGGGGGCTACCTACATGGTACAGCAGACCTCTCCTGACTTGCCTGCTGCTCCCCTCAGCAGTGTATTTCAGTCAGTCTACCTGTTCTGCTCCCCGCTTTGTCTCTGGTGAATCCTCTCACCCCCCACACCTCTGGCCTGTGCCCCAGCTCTTGTATGCATAAATAAATTTTTAAAAAAAAAAAGATTTTAGACCTACAAAGGAATATTGAGATAAATTCAATACTTTCTGGAACCAAAAGGGCAGATTTGATCAACTCTGCCCAGTGCTCTTTCCACATCATTCCTTTCTGATGGATGAATCTGCCCTGACTTTCAGAAGGAAGTACCAGAATAGCGGGAAATATTAATCTTCTCTTCTGCAGAGCACAGTATTCCTTAGGTTCTTTGTTTCTTGGTTTACCAGTTACCAGTCACTTTAGTGGTCTCATTTGGGGCTGGTTACCTGTAAGATCACCAGGGCAGGTGCTCCTCCAGATGTTCCAGATGTGCATTGGGTCACACAGGCTTGTTATGTTGGAACACAGCGAGTGTTACAGCACATTTCAAGATCAGTGTTAAAATTGTGCATTTATGCTACTTGCAAAAAATAAATCCTGCCAGGAGAAAATGATTTCAGGTGTTTTCATAATGTAAAAAGAGACTTCACAGTTTTGATATTTTATTTTGTGAATTATGAAATTATTTATGTTAATTAGGCAATTCTAGGTTGGTCACATGTAGGGTTGAAAATTCTGTTTTTCCTTTTTAAAACGTTTTTATTTTGAAATGCATTTTGACTTACAGAAAAGTTGAAAAAAGTACTCATCACTCAGCTCCCTTGAAT